TAGCCCAGTGCACAGGCCTGGCACGGAGGTGCTAGTACTGAGGCCTACACTTTACTGAAACGAGCACTTATGTCCTGGCTTCAGTCTACCCAGGAGAGAGAAAGGGAAGCAGGGGACGGAAATGAGCATATGGATAGGCTAGACTCTCAGTTCTACTTCAGTGATAACTGCCAAATAGTGTCTGAGAGCTGGATGAGATATGGAAGGCATGCGGCCTGGGCTCCTCGCGTTACAGATGGGAAGAAAAGGGCTGACCAGTCAAGTGACGTGACCTAGACAACACACAAGTGAGCAGCTGGCCCATCTCCTACTTACCCTGTCGGTCATTTTATTACTGATTCCAAGGAGCATCAGCATATTGTCACATTCTGTGACCCCCATTGCATAGAGGTCACTGAGAACATTGGCACATGCTATCCTGCCCTGGAAGAGAGCAGAGATGTGAGAAAGGACAACGGGGGGACTTTCCATGGGTAGGAACGAAGAGCAGGCCTGAGCAGTGCCTCTTACAACCGAGGGACTTTCCAGGAGTGGCAGCTGCTGGGGTGTGGTCCTCAGTTTCTGTGATTTGCAGACGAGTTACCTTTCCTTAATCACAGAACTACTAGGCCGTTCACTCTTTCTCAGACATCCACATCCTGTTACCATCTCTTCTTTCCCATTCTAAACACTGGGAGAAGCATGAAGTTTGTTTCGATGGGGAACAGACTGAGGGGATGTCAGGGGAGCAGGGCTGGGGCTGACGGTCTGGGAGGAAGAGCTGTGGAGTGGAAACCTCTGAAGACAACTACGCTAGAGCAGATCTGGAAACGTCCGTTTTTCCTAAACAGATTCTTTAAAAATGTGGACTTTATTGGTTATAGAGAAGATGGTTTTTATACTCGTGGATGGAGAAATTTTCGTAGCTTTTCAAGCATGTAAAAGATAATCAGAAAAATCATCTTGATTGAGAAATAAAATAATTGAAGAAATAGAACACACCTAGGCCTGAAGTCGGATTAATTTCTAAAGAAAAAGAGAAGCATTTCTTAGTAAACTATCTATTTTACTAAGGAACTTTAAAATAGTATTCAGTAGAAATGTGGTGGTAATAAAGGTTTTATTGCCATTGAAAATCTTTTTAACATAAGCTACCATTATCTGAACAGTAAAAGAGAAAGTGACAAATCTTCCTTCTGACATAAGGATAATCAAACTCCCAAACACCATCATTTTCAGTAGTTGTTTTTGCTTGTTTAGATTTTTTACGACTTCTTGGCAGACGGGCAGTGAGCCTTCTGCGACTCACTTTCAACAATAACAAGGCAACAGGTAGTTTGCAACTTGGAGGTGCAACTGCTGGTCAGGGCTGCAGCGACTGCCCTTTTTCTGGGCTCTCTCAGATGCTTTTAAGAGATGCTAGGGAAAGGACGAATTCTAGTTCTGGCCATCTTTGCCACCTGCTCAGGTGGGACACCTGGGGTATGGCACACCTCAGTCTCTCAGGAGTGTTGCTCTAGAGGAGACCAGATGGACGTGTGGAGGGAAAGCAGGATTCGAGTGACCCAAGTGCTGGCCACGGGCACTTGAGAGGTGAAGACCCCCACCTCCCGTTTAGCTGCCTCATGGCCTAAGTCCCTATGTCAGCAGCCTGATCCCAGTACTCCTGCCGCACAGGAGAACCCCTGGTATTTCCTAATAACAGGACATTCCCAATCCCTTCACTGGCTCTTCTTGGCTGGTAGGATGGAAGGTAGATGAGAGGGTTGCTGGCTGCACCATACGGTGAACAGTTGGGAACTACATCTAAGCCAGGCAAGATCAGCAGCTAGGAACGTTAGTCCAGCAGTTCAGATACGCCTTCTACACGGTGAGCACGTAATATGGTTGGGGGTGAAGGAGGGACCAGAATCAGAATCAATGGTCGAGAGGCTTCACTGTGATGAGATGCTACGCTCTACTTCTGAAAGGAAACATCTAGGATCGGACCTATTACAGAGTATGGGAACACCTCTGGCCGGAAAGGAGTGAGTTTACAAATGTCAAAGAAAGAAGAAAACTACAAACATGAGTCAGCGGACACTTAGTAGACAGCAGGTGTTTTCACACAGACACACACTCAGGTACCAAAGCAGCACAGGGACGTCTGCCTAATTATCATGCACAGCACCACGTGTGAGCAGGAAACAATCAAATGGCTGCAACTATGGGAGTCAGGGCAGCAGTGGGATGAGAACAATCTGGATTTAAAAAAACGAGAACCCCGCCCCACACACAAAACCCCAGCCACCACCCAAAACCGAACAAACAGCAGTTCCAGATGTAAAAACACACAAAGTCAAACTTACCATCATGTAAGGGTCATCGACGATAGGATAAATGTAATCTGTGGTTTGAACCAAGGAAAGACCACCATGCCTCAAAGGAATGACACAAGTATCCATCCCAATGCCTGCAAAGATGGAAGTCATCATCCACAAATCAACAGGAAACGCCATTTCATCTTATGCCATCAATGCTCTGAACAAGAAGTTTTGTGTGAGATACTCATGGGGCTGCTGGAAGGAGCGAATGAACTCACCCGGTTATCGAAGCGTTTAATGGTGCAATGCGTGCCAAGTGCTCAGTAAGGTCAACAGGGCGAAGTTATAGAGAGGAATTGTTACGTTACCCATAAGGTTTTATTGCATTGTTTCTGTCCCCTTCAGCAGCAGTTTATTTTCCTCGACGATGTTATCTAAGCGGTTTCTCACTATACAGATGTTCCTTGACTTATGATGGGGCTACATCCCGATAAAGCCATCGTTAGTGGAAAATGTTTTACATCAAAAATGCACATTAATATACCTAACCTACAGAACATCATAGCCTAGGCCAGCCTACCTTAAACGTGCTCAGAACACTTATGTTAGCCTCCAGCTGGGCAAAATCATTTGTGATCTGGCTGACCTGGGGCTGCAGCTCGCTTCTCAGCATCACGAGAGAGCATTGTACTGCATATATTGACAGCCCGGGAAAAGATCAGAACTCAAAATTTCAAGTATGTTTTCTACTGAATGTGTATCGCTTTCACACCATTGTAAAGTCAAAAAATTATGAACTGAACCATCATAAACTGGGAACTGTCTGTATTCTCATTTCTTGACAAGTAAGCCGACATCCAATCCAACTCATTCATGTGGCATTTCTCCACACTCAGACATCGGCCAAATGAGGATGTTTCCATACTGAGCTCCAAGGAGCCCCGAGTCTCCTACAGCATGGGCTGTGAGCTATCCTCTCTGCCAACCAAAGCAACTCTGACCTTATCTGCTTTATGTATCAGTGAAGAGAGGAGTACTTTGGGTTCAATACCAATGTTGTAAGACAGGATTTCATAATAAAATAGCAGGTGAAAATAAATGAAATAAAAATGTAAGAATGCTGATCAAGTCACACACTGTAACTACAAAACATCCGAATTCCTAGAACACATGCCGAACATTCAAAAAGCGAAATGATCATGGCCTTGCAGCACGTCCTTAACAACCACACAATGAAAATTAGCAAACAATATCCCAATAGCTTAGAGTTTCTTTCTGAGCTCTAGGTTTGGGAAAAGGCAACCACTAATGACATCAGGAATTCAGTAAAGAAAAAAACATGGCTCTCGATTCCAGATGACATCCTGGAGTCAAGTAGAGATTCAGTCCAGACCTCTCCCCTTCGGTGTCTGGGGCACTTTTCTTCTCCCTCCTCCCCAAAAGAGCTTGGAACTCCCAAGTCATGCCCCACCCCCCCAGTCACTGATCTCAAGGTACTGCTCGATGATGCTTAAGCGCCACCTTTCTTAAGGCATTAAAGAGAATGCAAGCATTTCAAGAAAAATTTTGATAAAGGCATAAAGGGGTTTCTGCTTAATCTTCGGTTAACCAGAAAATCCAATTTGATTTTTTAAAAAAGGCTTTTACTGTAATATAATTATCTGAATTGCATACTTAGTAGTTCAAAAGGGGTTAGAGAACATTTCTTTATCTTTTCAAGTACTTCCTCCTCCAAATAAGTTACAATAATGTAACATAGTTACCACTGCTCTGTTCTTTGAATCCTTCTTATAGAAAAAAAGGTAACATGGGAGGAGAGCAATCTGGTTTTTGACTGGCTGACTACACTGCAGCCAGATGTTTCACTTGGGGAAAGAGAAGAGAAACAATGGTTCACATACCAAGCCTTGGCATAACTGCTCCCAGAAACTGTTCATCTTCTTGGAAGTGGTTCTCTTGTAAGGATTCCAGCAATTTCTGCAGGACATCTTGGGGCACTTTGCAGCCAGTGCCCTTCAGTTCAGTGAATCTGGTTAGCCGGAAGCTCTTGTCCAATTCATAACTTTCTGGGTTAAAGGACTCCCGCGTAGACATGGTTCTTAGGCTCACACACCTCACAGCTGGGCTCCTCCCCTCCCTCTCCTAGTCAGCTGGTCTCTCTACAGATCCACCTGGGTAGCACCAAAACACAAAGACGCCATTAATAGAATTCTCACCAGTACTTGCCAAGAATCAAGCAAATACCTGAAGGTGAAAAGTAAATGTGAAAAGGGCTAAAATCAACAAGACCACAAGGAAATGGTGATTTAGGGCCACAACAGTTTGTCACAGTGATGCAAAACCCAGAATAAGTTATTTTAAAAAGTGACTATGCCATCACGGACATGCTCTACAGAAGAGCTGATGTCTGTGTTGTTTTAATTGTGGCTCTGAGGGGCAGCAAGGAAGACCTCCTCTGAATAACGATGGGCCAGCTGGCTTACATGACACAGTGCCATCTTGAATGGTAAGTCCCAAAGGTTCTTCTCGCAGGCAGCATTATGGAAAAACGTATAGTCATTTCATCTGTCAGCCCGGAAGCGCTATACAGAAATTAGACGTTCTGGCTCGTGACTTTTCTGGAAAACTCTTCTAATAACTTTTGCTATCTCACATAGAAAAATAACATGCCTATCAGATTCTTTGTGGGAAAAGAATGTTGTTGGAAATGCATTTGATGATATTCATGACACTAAATTCAATTTTTAAGAAATTATGTTTTTACTGAGCCAAAAGTACACAACACGGTTCAAAACTAACAGGAAGTGTCACTAAAGAACACAACTTTAAAATGAGAATGCCTGTTTAACTACACAAGGTTCATTTTCTTCAAGAGAGTGATAGAAAGTTCTCTGATGTTTTAATGCAGTGCTAGTTCCTAGAAAGCAAACATCCCACCCAACAAACTGGCACACACACATCATTGACAAAATATGTTACTGCTCACTACTGTTTCACTGCAGAACTAAAATAAATTAAGCTGTACTAAATTGCTAGCATGAATAGTAGCCGGTACCACTGGAATTTCTGGACCAAGCACTTCTGAGTGTGAAATCTTTGGGGCTAAACCAAAAGCTCACGTGTGCTCCCAGGAGTTATAAACTTTCAGATTTATACTTTATTGGGAACAGAATTACAGACACCCCAAATTTTAGAATCAGTTTCCCTTATAACATTTATGATCGAAAACATAATTCCCACTTATAGAGGTTTCGATTCACTGGGAAGAACATCACTCATTTAAAATAAATCTTACAAAGCCCCAGTTTCTAAGTGATTGACAGTAATACCAACAAAAACATGTTTGGGGTGAGCGAAGATTTCAGTTTTAAAATTACAACATGCCAAGAAAACAACCTGTCCAAAAAGAGAGCGCAGGAGAGCCAAGCAACCGGCAGAGATGGGAATTTTGAAGCCATTTTAGAGTTAGGAAAAGTCCAACGGCACTTTGACTTGGAAAGGCTTGGAACAAACACCACAGTCCTGTCCTCTCAAAATGCCTAGCATTTAACACTGCCTCACCCCTACCAGGAGGAAAGAATCCAACCCACGAGGCATCCAGTTATTTTCCTACCTCTAATCCCTATCCCACCGCCCCCCCCCCCAAAAAAAAGGCGGGGAGGAAAATCTGGAATTTAGGGGACCAACTTCCTTTTAAACATCATTGACATTTTTCCAGATTTTTAAGAGGAAAAAAAAGTTTAAAACACCTTAAGTCCAGAAAACACTCAGGAGTTTTAAATTCCAAATGCAACGAGAGATAAACCTTATCATATCCGAACCTTAAAAAAACAAAACAAAAAAAAAACCCCTTACATTTTGAGGAGGGGAAGTGAGGGTGGGGGGTGCCTGAGAAAAAGAGCAATTAAATGTGGGGAGAGTATAAACGTGCATATGTGCATAAGAGGGTGTCAGCTGCGACCCAAAAGCCGTCTGTTTACACCTTTAAAACAATGATATGAATATTTAAAGACAAAGATTAACCCTTTCCCGCTTGGCCACGTTTAAATGTATTTTAAACGAGATGGCAAAGCGGGCCGACAGCTGGGGAAGCCCGGTAAGTGGGGGGTGGGAGAGGGTGCAGCTGCGGCCGGATACCTACCTACCCCCCAAGCTCCTAAACTCAGGACATCAACAATGGGGGGGCCGCGGCAACGTGGGTGCAGCGGCCAGGCGCTCGCATAGAAGCACACGTCGAGGCCGCCGGAGCGCGGGCCACGGAACTCGGGGACACCTTAAATCGCAGGCTGCCACCTTTAAAGGCCGGCCGGCCCTGGGCTCTTTGTGCGGCGCGGCGG